TTTAATTATTATTAAGTATGTTTTTGCGCAATTTTTGTTTAAAAATGCGCCCGACTTTTGTCTAGTGAGTGTATATACTACTTAAAAAACCATTAATAATATAAATAGCAGTTTTTTTATTTGTCAAAGAAAGATTTTTGGCAATATTATTATCATCATGTAATATTATAATTATGTGTAATATTAATTCTAAAAATACTTTTGTAAGCTTTTATTACTATTTAATTATTTAATTTTTGGGAAGAAAGAAAACAAGAAAACTGTTTACGGTATAATCTGTTATGGCATTATTATTATGACCTTTGCAGCTATATATACAGCACCGTAGCAAAAGTATCGGACATCCTAAATTTGTTCATTAATTACCCAAAAGTATATATAAATTTCTCTGTTTCTAGATTTAAAAAAAATTTAATTATCCTTTATTGTTTTTTTTTTCAAAGACAATCGATAAGAAATTTTGTATACATAACCAACCACTTGAGCTATCTACGTTTTTAGGTAATTGATGAATTTAAGATGTCCAATACTTTTGCCATGGTAATGTGTCTATAATAATAATTACGGCATTATTATTACAGTTTTACGGCATTTACGGACCAGAATACAGCGCATGGTAATGTGTCTATAATAATAATTACGGCATTATTATTACAGTTTTACGGCATTTACGGACCAGAATACAGCGCATGCAGTAACCGCATTGTTTCTGTCTAGCCATTCCTACGGCAAGTATACTTCGAGGGTGGGTCCTTTATAGTTTTTCATGAAATAAAGATTTATTCCTACATTATGGCTAGTTAATAATACAATCATAATTAATGGCTTAAATATTAATAGCAATTGCATGCTTACAAATTAAAAAAAAACAGCTTTTTTACATGACAAAAAAAAAATTTTTTTTAAGGATAGTAATAAGATGAATATTTAAACATTATCAGTTCTATCTGCAACCTCAAATTTAGACTTTACGATCTTATCCTCCTCCAATTCTTCGTCACTTTTCTTGCCAAAATAAAAAATTGACGTAACCGCAACAATCACGCATGCCCAATAGCTGAAATAACCAATTGTTGTACCAAGTGTTGCTTTTTCACGCCATCCAAATATTGCTTGCATAATTGACCAGAATGCATTATTTGTATCACAACATGTTGTATGCCATAACACTGTTTCATGTGATCCAGTTGCTTGTTGAAATTTATGGACTGAAGTTGAAAACATTCCAGCTGCCACAAAAAGAAGAAATACTGTAGTAGCTGTAAAAAATATATTTATTGATACTTTGTGAGCTCCTTTGTAAATGATCCACCCAATAACAAACCCTGACAAAAGTCCAAGAATTACTGGAATTGGTAGTCCTGATGCAGGTTTATTGAATCCAATCTATTTTTGAGATGAATGATTGCTTGAACATGACGTGATTGATTAATTTGATGGCAATAATAATAATAATAATAATTACTTACACCTCCTATGAATACAAAGGTTTCAACAGCTTCACGACATACAACAGTGAATGGTAACAAAATCAAAGCCCATTTATTGCCAGTTTTATGCTTTTCCAAGTAACTTTCAGTTGCTTTTTCAAGTTTTCTTTCCCATTTTTTTCTCCATTGCTGAACTCTGGTCATACCTAAAGCCATGATAGTAATCACAACAGAAGCAATAAGAGCAAACGAACCCTCTATATATACATATAAATATATATAACGTATGTAAATAAATACAAAATACAACTAATGATGATTAAAACTAATAAACCTCATCACAACAGATGCACAGGACACATAATAATAATAATTTAAAATCCATTATGCCAAAATTACAAATCTCGTCATAACGGGTTTTATATGTTTTTATATGTGAAGCAAATTTTTTCAAACTGATATAACGCGAATTTAATCACAATCCGATCTGTTGTGACAAGATTCACTATAGCAAGGTTTGGCTGTATATGAATTACAGTGTGTATGAACTTTACTAACCCCATGCTGGTTCGTTTTCTTCCCATAAATTTTTTGCAACAGTATAAAAAACAGCTATAAAAACACTACCAATTACAATAGAAAGAGCCAAGCCAGCAGCTGCACCGATCCAAATTTGACGTTTAAAAGTTTTTTTTATTGCTGCATCCTTTTCTGGGACAAGTATATCAATGAACCCAAGCAGTACGGCAAGAATTATCGTGACCTCAAGAGTTTCTCGTAAAAGAATGAAATAGGCAGGGATATCGAATAAATATGTCATCTTGGATTAAAAAAAATTTTTTTTGTCGGATTAAAGATCGTAAAGTTGGATTTTTGTTGATTGATTGCCTGCCTTTTTTATAAGAATTTGGAATACATTTTTTATTGATTTGTGGATGCTAATTTTTTTAAAAAAAATTATATATTACATTAAAGTCAAACTTTTTTTTACCTTTAAAATATCAATTCGGATTATTGTATGTTGCGAGATTTATTTTGAAAAAAAAAAACTATACATTAATTAAGCTTTATATACTTGAAAAAATTGATATAAATTATTCGGATGTTTTAATAACGGTCTTCCAAATATGGAAACCGATTCTAGCGTATGGGCGGATTTGACGCGTAAATTATGTGATACCTGAGAATTGTAGTATGATTGCATGTGATACTGGGTATGTAGATCAATAAATCTAATTAAATGTCATTAATGCCATTAATCTCATTATTATTATGTATGGCAATCTTTACATTTGAGTTTTGTAATAGTAAATCGCCTTTTTTCTACCCACTTTTTTTTAGAAGATTATGGATTAAAATATGTCATCCCAAAAAAATATGAATTCTAATATACCATATGTGGAAAACAGTAATTTTTTTCTAAAAAAACCACTAAATTTTTTATTAATTTTTTTTACATTATCTTGATTAAAAAATTGAAATTGTTCTAAAGCTAACCCATTTGATGTTAATAAACCGCGCGGTTTACCATGAAATGCAAAATTACCGCAATTAAAATAATATAATAACAAAGGAGGATGTAAACATCAATGAAACCATCAGAAAAAAGATTAAACTGAAGAGGTAAAAAAAACTCAACATGTAATATAGGATATTAAATCAATTTTACAATGAGAAGGATGATAATCTTTATATAATACATGTCCTTTTTTTTTTAACAGCAATACTGTGGTAAATAAAACGGGTTTATCAAAGTGTCATCCAATCGTATGTCGGACATGTGACCTAGTCTTTTTGTTGTAATTTTTAATAATATTCGCATTTTCAAAAGAAATGATAAATAATACCATTTTTGACCAAGCGGTTAAATTTTTTGGGAACTAACAAACTAATTAACCGGTAATTAAATAATTCTATATTAATAATCCTAACAGTAGAGGCAGAAAAGTTAATATAGAATTAAATTTTTTGTTTAATAAAACATTTTTGTGGTCGGAAATTAAATAGTAAGATTCAATAAAAAATAAAGTAAATTTTCTTAGATTATTATATACATATCTATTTGTTTAAAAAAAAATCGTACTAAATTAATATACAGTATGTTTTCGGTTGAGGTTTTGACTTTTGGTTTTTGAACCGAAAGTGTTTCGATAGCTTGACATAGTTTCGACGGACATCCATAACTGTGAAGATAAGTGGAAATCCTACTAGACATGGGGGAAATACTAGGTGGAAGTCTTACAAAAAGTGCAAGAAGATGGAGAAATTTGAAATTTCATTTCTCTCATGACTACAAATGATATGCAGATGTATGTAGACTTGAAAAAATATATATATTTGTTTTGCTCAAAGTATTTGTATTTTCGCCGTTTGCAATATAAAATAAGAACAAGAGGCAAGCAAAAAAACCAAGACTTGCATAGAAGCGAGCATAAAAACCAAAACCAAAAGTCTTATGGAAAAGTAAGCATAAAAAAAAAATAAATATAAATAAATAAATATTATCAGACAACATATGAGATTACAATCTTGCAGTATATAGAATTACTTCTATAAAAAAATAATTAATATGAAACTCGTTTACATCAAATCTAACCATGGAGCTCAAGATTTACAGCATTAATAGAAGTATTTTGAAAAGGGAATATAGTAAGCTGAAAAAATTGCTCCCTATATTTTCAAAATAAATGATACTTGAATACTAGAAGCTTATCTAAGGAAGAGAAAATCACCCATGAAATTTACCAAGAAGAAAGAAAAAAATAAACATTAAGGAAGCAGAATGAATGTGTGTTATTACCCAACAAAAAGCAGAAATCTTTAGAAGAAGGAAAATAAAATGCAATGAAACTTATTTGTCTACATGTTTTTTTCTTTTTAGTTCTTTTAGCAACATAAATCATAATTGCTTTTTATTAGATTAAGGATAATTTTTTAAATAAAATTTAAATCATTTATTTTTTTATGCATCTTTTAAAATTAAACAGATTACCAACCTAATCAATCATAATTGGTGTAAATCTACATTACAGTCAGACTCCTATATAGTCACATCCAATATAGTCACAACTCCTATATAGTCACATGTTTTTTATTCCCGATTTTTTTTATATTAAAATTAATCATATATAGTCACTTTCATATTGTAATCACTATCACCAATATTTGACAGTTCCATAACATATTACAGCATATATAAATTTCATCATATATAATCACCAATTCATGTGGCTGTTAAGGATACCGGCTGCAACTTTTGATGATGGTTGCTACCATCTTTGCGTCATATAAAAATGATTGCAATCACCTTTACGACCATTTTGTTTCCTTTTTTGGATTGCGACATGGAACACTAGTAGCTGTGTAAATATTGTTGGCTAATTGAAATTTGTGTGAAATTTTGAAATTTTGAATTTTAATAAATTGTTACTATTAATTATATATTCTATGAAAAAAAAAAACTGTTACACGAAATTTACTTGGTCTCAATTTCTTAATATTAAGTGTACAACAAAATTCGGAATTTTCAAAATGCTAAGGCTCAGCCAATTTTCAGTTTAAGAAAAAACCAGCCGATAAGTTTTGAAGCTTGAGTCATGAACAATAAAACTTATCGGTTAAATTTTTTAAAATGATATAATTTTTTTTTGTTTTAGTATTTTGAAGTTGACCAATTGTTACTATAAGCAATTAATTACTATAGATGATCTGCACCGTAATTATTTGTTTTAGTTAATTCTGCCAGTTTTCTTTTTTTTTCTTGATTCTTTACTAGAATTCTCTAATACTCTTTTGAAAACTCTTTCCTCTTGATAAATTTCATAGGTAATCTTTTCTTTTTTTAGATAAGTTTCCAGTGTTTGAGTGTCATTTATCTTGAAAATGTAAGGAGCAATTTTCTCACCTTGTTCCTTCTTCAAAATACTTCTGATAGTACTATAATTCTTGGGTTCCATGGTAGACCTAATGTAAATTAGCTTCATGTTAATTATTTTTGTCTAAATATTACATGGTTGAAAATTTTGGTAACACCAATGTTCACTTTGTTGCGATATTATTATTATGGATCTGCAAATGGCCTCATGTATAATTACCACAAATATATGTCATATTACATACATTATGATAAATATCGAAAATAGCTTTCCCACATCACTTTTCTCAAATTAAATTTTATAAAAAATGGAAAATATTTATATTGACGAGAAGAAAGGACAAGAAAGTGAAAAAATTTGTTATAAAGAAGAACCGGTTAACAAAAGTAATGATAGTGATAATAATAGCATACTACAAAGTTCAACAAATCAAGTAACTCAAAAAAAGTCAAATTCAGAATATCAAGGGATCAATGAAAATGACGAATGTAAAGCAAAGAGAGAATATAATAATAGTGGTGGTGTCGTTGTTCATGATGTTCATGATGAAAATTGTGATAAATTTGATGGTATGTAGATTTTTTTTTACTAATGATTATGATTATTATCAAGTAATAATTTATTTATTTAAATTTGTTTTAGAGGAATCAGCTAAAAGAAAAGAAGAAATCAACAAGACTACACCTGGATGGTGTAAATAATATAATTTTGAAATCAAATCTAATTGGCCAATTATGATTAATTGATAATTAATTAATTGATAATCAGTCAGTAATGAATCATAAAAAAGTTTTTTTTGGTGGACTCTTTAAAAATTAAATCCATTATGATAATTAAAGAAAATATTCTTTCAATATTATATTATTTAAAAATTAAAGATAAAATAATAATAAAATTAATAAATAGAAAAAACATTACATTTATTAGCAGTAGTAATAATAACAAATTATTTTACAATAAAAGTACTTATTACATTACATATTAATATATAACAGTAATATAAATTTAAATTTGTTGATTGATTTTGTTAATAATAATTAAAAATAAAATAATAATTTATTTTTATTTTCCTCGCTTTAATATAGAATTAATAAAATGTAATATTCATTTTTTTCACCATAATAATTATAATAAGGTGTCCAAGAGATTTTTTCATTTTTCAGGTAAAACATTAATCAATTAATTGACGATACCATCAATAATTAATAATCTACTTTCCCTTCTTAGTATCCATTAATAAAAATAAAGATTATTATGAAATTCTTGGATTACAAAAAAATGCATCACAATCAGATATTAAAAAAGCTTATTATTCGGTATGTTTCTATACATATATAATATACGTATATAAACAATTTATAATGTTAATTTTATTCGTTAGCTTGCAAAACAATACCATCCGGATACAAACAAAGATGTAGTAGCAAAAGAAAAATTCATACAAATTCAAGAAGCTTATAATGTAAATAATCAATCAATCAATAAAACAAAATATTCTATAAAAATAATCATATTATTTATTTATTTTAGGTGTTGAGTGATGAAGAGAAAAGATCACGGTACAATAAATGGGAAACAACAGGTAAATAAATAAATTAATTAATTCATTATTGATTTTCTATATATATTAATAACAATGATCAATAACGGTGCAGATGAATTTGCAGGTGAAGCAAATTATGGTGGATTTACTGGATTCAATGAAGATTTTATAAATAATGTATTTAAAAATTTTGCCGGTTCAAGAGTTCAAACAGAATTTAATCAACCTTATGCAATGGGATCCGATGTCGAAGTAACTTTTATGAAGTTTCATAAATATTATTTATTATAATCTTCATATTTAAAGTAATAATAATTTATTATCTTTGTTATTATTAGTTTTCTTTAACTATATCCTTTATAGATTCGGTTAAAGGTGCTAAGAAGACTGTGACGGTAGAAACAGTGGCAAACTGTAAATCGTGTAATGGAATTGGTACCAGAACAGGCAAAGAACCAGATAATTGCAAAGTGTGTAATGGATCAGGTGTACAATACGTTTCCTTAACAACAGGATTTCATATGCAAACTATATGTCGTGCCTGTAATGGTAAAGGAACCAAAATAACACCTTTAAATAGATGTGTAGCATGTATTGGTAAAGGTCAAGTAAAAGAGAAGAGAGCTGTAGTAGTTCAAATTCCCGCAGGTAAATTAATTATGATTGAATGGGGATATAAATATAAATATTTCTATTCAATCTTCATTATTTTCATTATATGTGTGTATATATATATATATATATATTTGCAGGCATTGAGAGTGGCACAGTAATTAGAATGATTAGACAAGGGGATGTACCATCTGGTGGGATAGGAATCCCCGGAGATTTATATATAAGATTAAATGTCACGCCACATAGTATATTTAAAAGAGAAGGTGAAAAAAATATTATTATGAATAAGGAAATACCATTTCATCTAGCAATTTTAGGTGGTGATGTTCAAGTACCCACGATTGATGGCGATGATGTTGAATTAAAAGTTCCTGAAGGTTCACAACCTGATCAACGTATTGTACTAAACAAACGTGGTATAAAAATTGGTAACTCTCAAGGTGATCAATACGTTATATTAAAACCTAGATTACCAAAGTAAGTATTATTATCAGTAGTATTAATAATAATAATGGCTATGTGATAAAAAGATATACCGATTTGTTTATGTATATGCCTTATTTCTTAATTTAATTTAATTTAGACATTTAACATCACAACAAAAAGAATTGATTGAAAAATATGAAGAAATCAGTGAACGAAGCACAAAGAAGAAATCTGGTAATTTTTTAAAAAATCTATTTAATATATTCAAAGATAAAAAATAATAAAAGTGATAGTAGTGATATTGATAGATAGCAATAGCGATCATGTTAATAGGATATATTATATTATTTATATTATAATTATTATTTAATTGTAGGATAAATTTCATCCAAAAAAAAAAAAAAAAAATCAGAGATCAGAGAAATTAAATAGATCAATATAAAAAATAGAACTTTTAATAGTTTTTGAGAGTCTTTAGTATTTATAAATAATTTAAATATATTAACTAATAATTAATAATGAAAAATTTGATTTTCCAATACATAATCAATTGTTGGTCTATTATCAAACATGAAATCAAGCATTTTAATAATCAAGATATTTATAATGTCATTATCTATTTCATTGGCAATTTTCTCTTTAATTGTGTTCAACTCAACAAATAAAAGAATATTTGTTGTTGTTGTGTAAAATAAATGTTTTGTAACAAGATAGTAGAGTAAACAACCTAATGAATAAATATCAATAGCATAATGTGATATCGAACCAGAATTTAAATTTAACACTAATTCAGGTGCACTAAATCCTAAAGCAAATGGTAAATTATTATTGTTATTATTATTATGTTGATGTTGATGTTGATGATTGTTATTGGCTGTTGCAGATGATGATTTTGTAGTTAATAATGAAGAGATTGTTGGAATGTCTATGATGAGAGATCCAACTGTACAAGAATATTTAAAATCTGACAGCTTAATCTTCCAGGGTTTATTATTATCCTTGCAAATAATATTTGAAGGATTTAGATTCATGTGCTGAAAATAAATAAATTAATTATTAGATGAATTAATTAATTGAATAATTATAATAATAATTGGAGGAATGTACTTACAACAATTTCATTATTATGCAAGAATTGAACACCTTTACAAATATTCAAGAACAATTCTCTGATAAGTTCTAAAGAATTAAATTTGTCGAGGCTAAGATCTAAACTTTTGCCAAAGTATTCCATAACAATAATATGTTCCTTACTAATACTACTACTATCATCATTATCATTGTTAGTTGTTAACGTGTCTTGAAATTTTAGAATATATCTAAAGGAACTTTTTAGTTGTTTAATTATTTTCATTTCATTTTCCCAAAGAAACTCATTTGAAAATATTTTAATTATAACAATAACATCATTTCTAATATTTTTTCCAGTATAAATCTTATATCCCTCTTTGTCATTGTTGTTGTTGTTGTAATTATTTAGTAATAGATTTTGTATAACATAATTATCTGAAAATATCCTTTGATTATTATCATCATCGTTATTATTAAAAACAAAATTATTTTTACCATTAATGTTTTGTGTATTCGAAATCTTTTGTTGAATTTGCAGTGACGTTGGTCTACTATCAAATGATATCAATGATTGTATTTCCGGTGAATTGTCAATGGGATTCTTATCAGAGGAAAAGGAGTAGGAAGAGTAGGATGAAGAAGAAAAAGAAAAAGCTGTTGACTTTCTTGAAGGCATTAGCCGAGAAATTTTATTATTAGCATTGGTATTTGATTGTAGGAAAGATGATGTTGTTGAAGCTTTAGAATGTTTGTCAGATGATGTTTTGAATTGATTGTTATTTTTTTTCGCTAATGGTGGAGATATTGGGATTGTACCAGATGGTAATAACTGAGTTAATTTGATGATTTTGTGAAAAGATAACCTAAATCCTATTTTAGAAGATATTCCTTTGTTATCATGAATGGAAACTGGTCCAACTGATATATTGATTATTTTTAAAAGTTAATAAGTATACATTAATTGAGTAAAGAAGTAAAAAAGTATGGATTTTGTAGAAACTTTAGAAATATTTACTTTTTGTGGATCCTGTTAGTAACAAATCATCCCAAAATTTTTTCTCAAGTTCGCTGGAATAAGAATTAATCTTTAAATTAAAATATGGAAATCTATGACTTGACGATAGATGCTGTTTTATTATTAAAGTATTAGAGCTGCGTTTTATTAGAAATGAAATTGGATATTTCCATCCAGTTTGTTTTACTGTTTTATAATGATAATTGGTTGAATGAATTTCATCGCCCAATTTTATCTCTAAATGACCAGGAACTCTGCTCAAATCTTCACTGTGAATTATGATTATGGTTATGGTTACGATGATGAAGATGATTATTATGATTAATATATCTTTCTTTATATCAAATAAATATATTATATATGTAATACGTACAGACTTATTTCTTTTATTAGCATCATACCAATCATATCTTTTTTAAGTTTTATATTATTTAATATTTCTGATGAAGCTTTTGGATTTTCCTGATTAAGATGAGGAAAAAAAAGATTAGAAGATTAGTTTTTTCTAAGAAAAGATAATAAATAAAAAATAAAAACAAACTTACATTTAATATATAGTAAATTTCAAAAACAATTTCGAAATTACGATCTTTTGATCTCAATTTTACTATATATGATAAAATAAAAGCCATAAATATTGTATATTTAATTCTTGAAGCTAAAACAAAGACAAATCTAGCAATTATACCTTTATTTTCATGAGGGTCAAGGTTAATTAGATCCACTTTTATTTCAGCCAAGATTCCATCTCTTCTTTTAGCTCTATTATCCCAACATCTAACAATTAATTCTGTGTCTTTAGGAATCTTTTTTGGTTTAGATAATTTTAATAAAATATTCTCACTCCAATAAGCTTTTTTAAAGATTTTATCTGAATCTAATAAACTGGTTGATGGATAGTTTATTAATCAATTGATCAATTGCCTGATTTATTTATAAATTTCTTAAATATAGCAAAAAAAAATTTAAAAAATTTACATTTTGTATGAAGGTGTGTAATTGTTTTCATTATTGTATTCAAATTCCAATTGTAATTTAAGTTCTTCATTAATATTGAATGCATTTTTAAATATTTCACTGATTTTTGTATGGTTCTTTTCTTTATTATAATTATAATTATAATTATTTAATGTACTTTTTGAATTTGAATAATTTTTTAAGAAGTAATTTAATAAGTAAAATAAAAATAAAAATAAAAAATAATTAAAAAAGACAATTGAATTTACCATTCAATTTTCTTTATTAAAATAAATCCAACATATTTGTTATTATTAATCTCTTTGATATTGTCACTAATCGATGGATACATTTTGTAATTTTAACGGAAAATAAATAAAATTCTACATTTTTTATACATTTTTCTCTAAATCAAATTTCTGAATTAAGGAATATTAATTATTATCAGACATTCATCCAGTGTTGGAAATTCGACGATCTTATGATCTGCAAAAAAATATTTGCGCACATAATTGTGATCAACAAAAAAATTTATTTAAATTATATAAATAAAAATTATAAATAAAAATTACAAAAAAAAATTTTATGAATTAATCCTCCTATTTTTTTTATTTTCCCAATATTCACATGCTTTCTCAAAATTAAAGTCTTCAATTTCAGGTCCATTTAGTAAAATCATCAAATGATTATTTAATGTATCAAGATTCATTTTGTTCCTTAATTTATTCTTAATCAACTTTGTTTGGGAAAATATCCTTTCTACATTTGCATTTGAAAGAGGTATAATAAGAGATATTTTAACTAAAAGGGATATGTTTGGGTAATTAAATGAAAAGTCTTCATCTGTGTCAAAAATGAATTTCCATAAATTAATAAAATCTAGTTCATTAGATTTTTTAAGTTGGAGGATAGATTTTACTAAACACCATTCTTCAAAAAGTTTGTCCTTATCAATAATTTCTTGAAATTCATCACCATCTACAAATTTAGTTTATCCATAAAATTCACTAAGAAATTCTATCTCTTTATTTCCATACAAATTTAGTTGTTCATCATCATCTGGGATTTCTTTTGGATCAAAGATGCTAAATGAGCTATATAATTCCATTTGTGGAAATCTTCTTTGAATAGCATCAATTATTGCAATGGAATACTCTTTAATAAATGGTGGAGAATTAAAATTATGCTTATTTAAATATTCTTTGAAAATGAAACCATTGTTAGGTGGAAATTGCTCATTACCAATGAATTCATACTCTATTTCATTTATTGTATTGTTGAGGCTTTTTTTAAATTGAGATAATGATAAAAAATCTAGTTGGAAAGTATTGATCAATTTCTTTAGAATATTTGTTAAGTCAGCAAAGTACATAGTTGCAAAAATAAAATCTTGATCCAACTGATTATACAATAATTCAGCTTGTTTATCACCTTCATTAACATAATCATTAAGAGTTGCAAGTACTGAATTCAAAATTTTATACAAATTACTAACAGAATTAGAAAAGGACAACCATTGTGTTTCACATAAATTTAAAATCTTTAGTGTTGGTTCATCATTAATGTCTTGCATCATTCTTAACATGTTTTGTCTCTTATGTGATTTAGAAAAAAATGCATACAAATTTTTTAAGGTTTCCTCATATTTTTCAAAACATAAAACTTCATTAGAAGCATCTTTTCCAGCCAAATGTAGTCTATGTGACACACAATGATTAGATGACATGAATGGATTTATTTTTTTAAGTCTTGCTGCAACACCACTTTTATAACCAGTCATATTAGATGCACCATCACTTCCAAAATGAATTATTTTTTGAGAGGTTATTTCTTTGTCATCACAAAATGATATTATTTGATTAAAAATATTTTCTCCATCAGTTGATTCCAAATCAATCATTCCCAAATATCTCATGTATGGTATGTTATCCACCATGTATTTTCCTACAATTGCTAAATACTTATTATTAATAGTATTTGTCTCATCAATCATAATGCTCCAATATGGAGATGAATTCAATTCTTCAAAAAGTTCTTTTTGTATTACAGAAACTATACATTCTAAAAATTCAGAACCAGATTTATTATTAGCATAACTCCCATATGTTGATTTAGATAATGATGGCTTTGCTATGGACGCAGGTTTTAAATTGAATTTTTTATCATTAGTAACTTTGTTTTTTGTCTGCAAGAACATTAAAATTGCACATATCAGGATATACATTCAATGAAATATTTTTTTTTGAACAAAAATAAATAATTTGCATCAATGAAACTATTGTTAATTTTTTGGTGCTCAATTGATTTATAAACCCTATCTCAAATAATTCAAACTTTTTATGTGCATTAGAATTTGAATGTTTTTTAATTTCCTGATAGTCTTAAATTAGATTAACCTTTTGCAAAATTGGTATTCCCATTTTGATCTCTACAGATTTTGCAATATAAGATTGTTTTTTCATTGGAAACTTCAACTTCTAACCATGGATATAATTTAAACCATTCAGGATCAATGGTTTCTCTATTATGTGATTTTTGTTCATCTCCAGAACTTATAGTATTATCACTACCAATTGATTCATCATCAGATATCTCAAAAATTTCCATTTGGTGAACTGGAGTATTATGAACTTTGGCAGAAAAATCAATTGATGAAGTTGATTGTTCTAATGTTTTATTTTTTTTAGGATTTGAATCTTCATCAATGAATAAAATTCTTTTAGTAATTTGTTTATTAGACATTTTTAATTAAAATTTTTTTATATATATAGGATTTTAGTAATAAGTACTAATTGCATTACAACGGATTCACGTGATATAGATTTTATAAAAAAAACACACATTACTATGTTAAGATTAATTCATTGCTAAATAATAATATAAACAAATTGAATAATTCTCATGAATAATTCTCACATTACTATTACTAAATAATAATATTAATCAAAATTTTCCATATTTCTAAATAATGATTTTACACAAATAATTAAACACACATTACTAAATAATAATATTAATCAAATTTTTCATATTTCTAAATAATGATTTTACACGAATAATTAAACACACATCACTAAATAATAATATTAATCAAATTTTCCATATTTCTAAATTGATAATAAATAAATATCTTCTAATAATTCTACATAATCAACATTTTCTTTGATTTCTTTAAATTAATAAATCTCCAAATTCTACGAAATTAAAATGTCTCAACAACTATCTTCTTCCAAAAAATGTGAAAAAGCTTTTGAAACTGCTTTTAATTTTCTTGAACAAAATAATATACAAGCAGATTATAATAGTTAAAAGCTTTAAAATCATTAAAAAAAAAACAATAAAATCATATAGTATTCAAAATTCAATACAAACAAACATTACTAGTTTTTCAGTAAATAATTGGCTATTAATTACCATTTAATTTTTTGTAAATTTTACTGTATTATATCAAGTATTATTATTATATTCAAAATTTAAATCACAAAAATTTTATTATTATTAAATTTTCCTGTTGATCCTGTAGATCATTATCTCGTTTCAACGGATTTTTCGTTTCAACAGATTTAGGTGGTCAGTCCCATAGATCCGTTGAAACGAGGTTTGACTGTATGTATATATAGGAATAAATGTAAAAGAGAAATTTTAATATACGGTGCAGATCATCTATAATCATTAATTGCTTATAGTAACAATTGGTCAACTTCAAAATACTAAAACAAAAAAAAATTATATCATTTTAAAAAATTTAACCGATAAGTTTTATTGTTCATGACTCAAGCTTCAAAACTTATTGGCTGGTTTTTTCTTAAACCGAAAATTGGCTGAGCCTTAGCATTTTGAAAATTCCGAATTTTGTTATACACTTATGAAATTGAGACTAAGTAAATTTCGCGTAACAACTTTTTTTCATAGAATATTTTCTACAACATACATTTGATTTATTTGACTTATTTGACTTATTTATTTCCTTTTTTTTATTAATAAATAAAGTTCTTTACAACAAAAAAGTTTAACGAACATATTACATTAAAAGAAAATCATTCCCAAATTTGGTCGTGAGATTCAAAATAGTGTGACACGAAAATTATTGTTGCACTTCTGAGCATAACTTTCAAACTTAAAAAATCTATGAAAAAGAAAATTTGAGACAAATTTTTTTTTTAGATTAATAGACTCCCTTTTTAAAGCCGAATTGAATGGTGGCGAGTTTTTAAAAATCCAATGTGTGGATCACATAATATTTCAAAAATTTTAACTTTTGAGTATAGATGATCCGCACTGTATTTATTTAGCACTTGACATTTTTAAAAATCATGTGACTGTAAAATTTTATTGCATTTTTGATTGGAAATTTTTTCTCAAAATTGGTGGTGTGGCATAGAAAGTTGTGGGACTAAGTGACTTGCATTATAGAACTAGCGAAAATTATACAAAAGACAAATATTCATGAACGTTTAAAACCAATTAATCTATTTTTATTGCTTCACCAATTATATATATGTTGGGGGAAGAGGTATCTTCATTATTATCTATTGCTTTATTGTTAGTATTATCACAAAAATCTAATTTTTTTAAAAATATGCTCAAGGAAAATGATGTTTTAAGAGAAGATAGTCCTTGGAGCACTCCTAGTTATGATGACAATAACAATTATAATGATTATAGCAGGGTTGGCAAATATGCGGTCTATTGGTGATCTATTGGGTCCATTAGCATAACACTTTAATCATATTTAGTATTTTATTAATGGCAATGGATCAGTCCAAAGTTCATCAGTTCTCAATGGACCAGTCAATTTGCCAACCCTGGATTATAGTAAAAATGATAATTCTAATGATAATGTTGCCACCACATCAGCACAACATCAATAATCACAACAACAATCATCAACAATGATAAATAACAATAACAGTAATAATGACTTGGATCAAGAGATAATTGCTCCTACTATTTATGAAGAAAGGACTTATATAAGGGGTCACAGACATAAACAAAACAGAAGAAGACAAACTAGAACTATATTAACAAGTGAAGAAAATAATATTGGTCATGAAATTGTGGTGAAACTGGTGACGTTAACATTAATTATATTCAAACTAATGATGCTGGTGATGAAATTCAGAATGTTGGCATCCTATATTCACCTCAACGAGTTGGATCAATTTATTTTAAAACACTATTTGCTGTAAATATTTTTGGTGTTTGTAAAACAGGAGAAGAAAATTGTCAACTAAGTTACATAATTGCTGATGGCATTAATATTGATGACATGCAAACAATTATTCTGGAAAGATCTATTTCTTCTGTCAATGAAAGTATAATTCTTGGTGAGAGATCCAAATGGACAAGAGA